TTTTGTATTGTTTGTAGTGTGATCAACGTTTGCGTAAGTAGTAGACGTGTTAGGGAAGTAACACGTAACATTTTAACTATATTTTGCTAAAATTAATGAAATGACTCGAAAAAAGATTCGTTCATTTTACTGAACGAGACTCAAAGGTCCGAGTCGGTACTTAGTGTTCTCGTAAAAAAATTCAAAACACAGCACTGATCTCTAACGTTGCCAGTAGTCATGTCTCAGTAGGGCTACAATTGCCATCTAGCGGTTTGGAATTGTAATTGCATTTTTATTTATAAAATGAAAGACAGCCGAATATCAATAATATCATATAATGTGTATGAATGTAATAACAGCTTGTGGGATGCATGACATCATATTATCAAATGCAAGTAAACCTTTGAAACATTTAAATTAGCTTTATTTTTGGCATAACAAATAATGATATATTTAATAATGCTGTAAAATAATTAAAAATATATAAAATAATGCTAATTTAAATGGTTCAAAAGTTTACTTGCATTTGATAAGAAGCTGCGTGGGCGAAAATTACATGTAAACAATTTTAAGGCTATTTTGGCTATGCTCATCGCTGGTCTGGTTACTGGTATAGGGCTATAGCCAAGCCATTAAAATTAGACCACAGTTTGCCTCGATTTCGCCAGGTGGGCTAAAAGCAGACTACACGTAGCCCGTCCAATTTAGAGCTAAATCGTGGCTACATATAGACCATGTCATGAAATGACACTTATATATTTGTAGATATTACTGACACTGCGAACATGATGGGATATCAACCATCTCATGCGCTGTCTGGCCAAAAACTACAGTGAATCAGGTTTGACTATAAGTGGGCTACAGATAGCCGCTCGGACTACGAGCTAAATCGTGGCTACGCACAGGCTACGTATTGAACATGTCAAAGAAATGAAACCAAACACCTTGTAAACGCTGTTACTTTGCTTACATGATGGAATATCATACATCTCACAAGTTATTTTGCCAAAAAACGACATGAAACCAAATTCAAGGTTATTTGGGCTAGACGTGGGTTACACATAGCCGGACTATATCGGGTCTATACTTAACCGAGACGTTGAAATGACGGCTATTGCTTGCTGGGTTGCTTTTAAAAACAATGACTTACCATGAACAACAACAGAGTAGGATCCTCCACCGCCGCGATTTTTGCTGGAGATCCATACATCATAGAGTCCAGAGTCTGTGGCTCTGGTGTTTGTGATGGTCAGAGATCCAGTCTGATGATCCAGCCGCAGTCTGCCTCTGAATCTCTCAGCACGATTATCACACCGAATACCTGTACAGATCTTACTCTGATCTCCAGTGATTTCTGCGATGGAAATGTTATTAAAATACCACATAATGTCTTCTTGTTGGTTTATAAGATATTTTAAAGTGACCGAATCTCCCTCCATCACAGACACTGTCTCTTCATCTGTATCAACACCGGACACGCCTGAAGAAGAAATGAACAGTTGATCACGAGCCAAACAACAACACACAAAACACGTTAATGCTCATTGTTCGTTTGTATCGTACCAGAAAAGAAACTGTAACAAATAAATGTCTTACAATGCTCAAGTAAAATACAGATATTACAATGTGTCGAATGTAAACTAAACTGCGTCACTTTCGTATTGACCTGAAGAGAGATTATAACATGTCTTACCATACGCGAGAAAATACACGAGCAATGAGAGCAAATTCGAGACATTCTTCATTTTGTTTTAAATTGACTACAAATTCCGTGACGGTTTAAGTGCTCTGTCATTGCTGTTTCGTTAAAGCCTCCTTATGCGCGACGTTTCTCTCTTTCATCTGCATACGAAACAAACATCTTTCTCAGCTTCTGTAGTGATGGACGAATCGGATTGTAGTGATTCGAATCACAGCTTCATGAAGCTCGACAGGACTAGTTTTTCTAAACTACGTTTGAGTCACCTGACGTCTGCAATTTTAATGTAGCAATTCGGACGGGACTAACATCTGCTGTGTTTATTACAGAGGTGGGACGGTCTGTTTTGTACATCTGGGCGTTTCAGAGATCACGCGCTCTGTATGTGTGCATTGCGTATAATCATTCGGATTGATTACCATTAGTATAATAAGTTTTACTAAAAATACCATGGTGAAGCTAAATGGCTAGTATAGCAAAACCATGTTAATGTGTGGTTGCTTTAGTTTAACTATTTTTTTTGTTGTTGTTGTAGTAAACCCATGTTTCATTTTCATAAAGGTACATATTAAACCATTATGTAGCCTAACTGAGTGCAGAAATAAACGTGAGTAATCTTACTGACGCTGATATTACAATAGCCAGCCTTAAGGTTTTATGAGATCTGGCTCTTGGTTTTATTATTGTTTTTTGTTTTAGTTTTTCTCAAATATATCCAACATGCGCGCGGTAAGAGCATCTGCGGTAATTCACGTTGGCCAAAACACATAACAACGCGTTTTTTCACACGCGTTGTGAAAAAAAATATCACCGGCCATCACAGACATTCGCATTCGGACGGGATTCGTTTTCTCAGAGGATCGCTGAGTTTGCTGAAAAACTAGGTAATTTGGTCTGGAATTATTACAGAGGTTGTGTGAGAAAAACACAGTACGTCTGTGAAACACTAATTTCTCTAACGACCCCCTGTAAAACTAGTCCCGTCCGAATAGGGCTTTCACTTATTTTGTGGACTGTGGAGTACTGCAAAGCTGCCATGTTTTTTTTTTTCTTATAAATAATACCCTGCATCAAATGTAGGCCTACGTTTCCACCCAGCAAGCAATAGCCGTCATTTCAACGTCTCGGTTAAGTACGAGCGGCTATCTGTAGCCCACTT